AATTACAGTACATTTCGGATTTTGTTCATTTACAGTGACTTTCCACGGGTGCGTATCTCCATTAAACCCACATGATATTTAGTTCGTCCAACACGGATTCACGGAACGCACCGCTATCGAGAGACCTATCCCTGAGTCGAACTGTAATCCAAATAAAGTTAACGTTTGTCTCTAGATATGAAAATTCCTTGACCACTTCAAAACCACATTCTCCGATAATCAGGTTTTGACATATTCTATTTCGACTTGCTTCTCGTATCGCTACCACCACACATTTTGTTTCGGACTCACTCGCTTGCGAGACCAAATTCTTTGGCAGATCTCTATAATTTGGTGAAGACTTCTATTGTGTCATGTAGCTGCCAATGATGTTAATGCCATCGGCACATGCCAGTGTTTGTGTGGATTTATTATACAGAGTGATTCAAAAGGTTAGGGCCAAACTGAAGGAGCGTATAGAGGGACTCAGAGAGAACAACTTTCGAATAGGAATCCATGTCCTCCGAAGTTATCCTGAGTCAGTCGAAGCCATTGAAGGTAGGAAGTCTGATAACATACCGCTGAAATAATCGTAATTTGCTATTCTCCTACAAGGATTATATTAGCAATCTTACAAACCAAATTTACAACAGCGGTATGTTATCAGACTTCCCTACCTTCAATGGCCTCGACTGACTCAGGATAACTTCGGAGGACATGGATTCCTATTCGAAAGTTGTTCTCTCTGAGTCCCTCTATACGCTCCTTCAGTTTGGCCCTAACCTTTTGAATCACCCTGTATATGGTACCACTCTTTACGATACCTGCGTCCCTCATGACTTTCTCCAACAGAATATTAAACAAAAGACAGGCAAGTACACCCCCTTACAATAGCTTCAGCCTTTCTTCGTTTTGAACTGCTTTAAAATACAGTTTTGAATTTTGACGCTACACTAAACTGTTTTCATGATAATTTTGTAAGTCTGGTTAGTTCTTCAGGTAATCCTAGGTGTAGCATAGCTTCATACAGTTTATTTATTAATACACTATCATATACTGTTTTAAAATCGACAAATATGTGGTACTAATGTTTTTTCAAGGGTTTTATTTCATTTCTGTACTGTAGCACATGATTGTTGTTGGCTATGTTACAATCGTACGCGAGAAAAATCGATTGCTACTAACATACGTTTAAACTACAGAAACATTTTCTCAAGGTTATCGAGATCGCAGTCACTTCGAAATTGACTCATGCGGCCCTTGGAAAAACAATAACTGCCTACCCCTGACTCTAGCACGGTAAAAAGTTAATCGCATATCCATCACACACATACACTAAATGTACAAATGTACCACCAAAGTTGTGCTACTCTAACAGATGTCTTTGTAGATTCCGTAAATCCTTACAAGTAAATGACGGGAACAGTAAGTCATTGCAGAAACTAGACTACAGGCTGGATGGCTGGGGTTCAATTCCTAGCATGGGCAGGATTTTGTTTTTCGTAGATACGACGTCCAGACCGGCTATGGGATCCACCCAGTCCTCTACCCAGCGGGTATCGGGGATTCTCTCGCTGTGCGTAAAGTGAATGGAGATGGGGTAAAGCTTACCACTTACTACAAACTGCTGATTCCAACGGGGGGTGTAATAACGTTTTGCTGTCGTAAACACCCCCAACAGTTGATGCGCCTTAAATAGTGCGTCAATGATGCATTTATTAATTTACTTTCAAACGTTGTAACTTTTACTTTTCACTTTAACTTTATAATGGGCTAACGGTTGACTTTTGTGATTACAATTTTGTCATCGGCTGCATACAAGCGAACTTACTTCCCTTCAAGCTGAATAACAGTGAACTGTTAACGAACACCACAGTGAATAGAATGAATAAGTCAGCACTAACCGATACTGTGACATGTTTCTTACGCTGGAAATCTATGGAGCTACTTTTTCTGAACACACGTAATTTAAACCCTGGTGTGACTTCCATTCCTGGTGGGCTGTGGAAGGCTAATAGAGCAGGGCGAACACCCGAGGTAGAAACACAGAAGAGATTCATCCATGTGACGGAGTGTATCGATTTCGGAGAGAAAGAAGGTCTTCACTCCTATATATAATTTTAATAGTGTGTGCTCCCCAGGGTGACAAGCTAATACATTCCCTGTCTGCTGTGTGGACAGTCAGTGGTGGATTGTGAGAAAAATCCATGAATGTGTACTAACGTTCCGCGTAATCGTGTGACTTACGGCATAAATCGACAACCTATTTGACAGGTAACATGGAGGAGCTTGTAGCAGACACAGTAAGAATCCAATCAAAAATGTGCTAACTCAAAGAACATTGCGTCGTATTGTCGAAATATTTTCCAAAATTTCTGGACACACAGTAACTCATAAAAAGTGTCAAACAAATTATACGTTATGTTCTCACTAAAATCGACTTATTTAGTATATTTTAAAATTCTCGGGGCACCAAGGTGCGGCGGGCGTAAGGTTGGTAACCGTGGCATGGTGTATTTACCGAAAATTCTGAAATCGTGCGTATGAGATTCCCTGGCAGGACAATTACTGTAATTAAAACAACGTGTGCAAAAACTGAAATTTTATCTTACGCGTGGTTTCACAGTGTCTTGGTTCCACCAAATGACGCCGCACTAACCAAACTCTGGTTATAGAACCTAATGGACAAAATACCCATATCAAAAATAAAATTATGTGAGTCTTCTTGATTCCTTGGAGACCTTATTAAAACGTGTATCGGTCACATATGGCGGAAGAAATTAATCACTCACACCCCCATGCATTGCCGAGTCCAATAATGAGGGGAACCATATTTCCACGACACCCATACGCCTTTAATGGACTGGTGACTGATCACAATGACGCACTTATTCCGTTCCACGAGGTATATCCAGTTAACTAAACGGTGAAAGATCACACTGGGCTTATACAGCAAAGCAAATACGGTGGGTAGATGATCAAAGTTATATCAGCAAAGTCGTGTTCGGAGATGTCCGTCGTAATGTCGAAACAGCCGCTCCAGAAATCCCACACACAGACTGATGATCGCTTCAGTGATCAGCAAAGGCGCTAGCTAAAACCGTAAATGTTAGGTGGAGAATCATCTAACGCAGTTTCCCAACCATGGTTCCGCAAACCATGTCCAGGGGTAGGGCGAGAAATCAAATAAAAATTCTGAAATACCTCGAAATTTACAAATATCCCTCGAAATATTGCGGGAATTTCTGTCTGGCAATTGGCAAAACGGAGTCTGTCGAGGTAGAAATGCGAGTGTTTGTCAAAAATTCGGCCAAGAATTCAACATTTGTACAAAAAGAAACAAGGCAAGTGTCACCCCGAAAGTAAACCTTATATTGATTTTAGACGTGAAATTATTTTGATGTTTAAGTAAACATTATTTTGATTATATACAGGGTGTCCCAGGAGAAAAAGTCAATATTCTGGGAGGTCATAGTATCGGTCATTCTAAGCAAAAAAGTGTCCTATTCCGAACGGTTTCCGAGATACAGCTATTTCACTGTAGAGTTGCAAAATTGTTAATAAGAAAGAGATATTACGTACTGTTTCTAATACCGGTATTTATTGTTCAAGTGACAAAGTTGGTGAAGTTTACCTAGTATAATAGATTTTCGAAAATTCCACCGTCAATATCAATGCACTTTACAACTCGTGTGAGGACATAGCGCGTTGCTCGTCAGAGTGCATCTTGACGTTCCTTTATGGGGGCGATAACATCCAATAGGGAAGGACAATATTGGGCGCCAAACCCAAACTACTGTACAGTGAAATAGCTGTATCTCGGAATACGACATATGCACATATACACTTTTTTGCTTAGAATGACCGATACTATGACCTCCCAAAATATTGAAATTTCCTCATGGGACACCCTTATGTGTACATATATATATATATATATATATTAGAAAATTAAGATTTTTTTTTACAATAATTTAGCATTAATCAATCCCGATACTATGACCTCCCAAAATATTGAAATTTCCTCATGGGACACCCTTATGTGTACATATATATATATATATATATATTAGAAAATTAAGATTTTTTTTTACAATAATTTAGCATTAATCAATCAAATCTTCCCGGGAAATCAGCCGCGTTAACTGCTTCCCGTAGTAAACCGACGTTTCGAGAACCAACTCTGCCCCCATCATCAGGGTTCTGATGTTACTGGATACCTCGGAAGCATTAATTCAAATGCGCTCCCAGCTATCAACTTTCATGGCCTGCAAACGTTTTTCATTGGTAGGGGTTCTTTGGGACATGTAAAATAATTCTTCGACAGAAAAAAATGGTAACTGTTCTAACGGTACGAAAGCACGTCCGTGAATTAGACTAGGATACATGCAAATCGAGCCGACACCGCGTAGCTGGCTCTCAGAACTTCAGGTGGTTTTGCGTCATCAGTATACGTCGTGTGGAACGATTGATCTCGCAAAGAACGAGATCTCTGGTCATTCATCTGACTCCATATTAATGTAACAGCCCGTGCATGATCCGATACGGACATTAATTTAACAGAAGACGGGCTGCCGTGTAAGTTGCGAACATCAAGATAAATGTTTCATGTAAATAAAACTGACAAGTTTTTGCTGTATCGACTTTGATACAACTTTTTTATTTCTATGATCTGCATGGAGCAGGAATACCTTCTTGACAAGATGACAATTACTCGGCTAGTCAAGAAATCCCCCCACCTTTCATTGAACACAACGGTGTTAAAGAACCCACAGCTGAACTTTATTATGAGCCAACTGAATCCAGTCCACATCTTCCAACTCAATTTCTGAAAGCTTCATTTTAATATTATCATCTCAACATCCGTGTCAAGGCTTCCCAAGTAATATCATCCCATATGATTTTAATACAAACATTCTGCACGCACCTCTAATCTCCTTAATTTTGACACCGTAACAGTATTTGGTGAACTGCAAAGATTTTCGCTGCGTAATAAAGAAATTTCCCTTTGTGCAACTCACCTCTTTGTCGGAGTATAGAGACTTGGCGACAATATCCAGTAGCATCCGAGTCTCCGCCTGGAACTCATGACTGTCGCTGGAACCTGTAAATATTCAACAGCGTCAGTGAAACTAATAGATGACGACACCGTAATTAAAGTGTCGAAATTCAATTACTTTGCTGCGAAGACAAAGACAAAAATTAATAGATTATAAACACGTCCGAGCACTGCAACAATAAACTACCTTTACAACGGCACTTTTAAGCTTTCCTTCTTCAGGAGCCGTGACGTCACGTGGGACTCCATTTTCCTCCTGTCATCCGGGTGTCCTGAGCATTCTGGACAATTCCAAGAACAAATCTTACACTGCTTAACAAGACTGCTGTTATGTCCTAAAAGAGAAACCATACTGTACTATTATAGCAGCTTTTGATTTGCTTTAAGCATCTGTGATTGAAGTCAATTATTTAGTTAACAGCTTAGTCAGGGGAAGCTACTTTCAAAATTAATGTAATCACCAATCAATAAAAATGTGTGATATGGTCCAAATAAAATCCGTACATGACTATAAAAAGTACTTAGTTAATCTGCCAAATATAACTGTGTCATGCGATCTGTCCTCCGCAGAAACTGTCACTCACATTTCCCACCTACAAACATTCGAAGAGCCAATAATACCACGCGTCGATTAAATTTGGGTTTTCAACCTTTCAAGACGTGGGAACACATTCGCCCTTTCTTATCGACTCGTTGGCGAAAAAGTTTAACAGCGTCGATGTCTGTCTTCTGGGTTTCTCAGGACCATACTATATCCATCTTCAGTGCAGAAAATGCAGGTAACATGTTTCTGCGATATGTTCGTATCTACATACAAGTTATACGGCGTTACAACCCAGAAGACAGACAATAACATCTTTACCATTGTGAGAGAACCTTGAAATTAACCTACTAATTCAAAAACACTCGCATATTATTTAATAATTTCCATTAACGAATGTTTATTTATCACCCTTACTGATTCACTTAAAATTAAATAATATTCATGCTGTCATGCGTTAACTACTGCCCAAAGCCAAGAAGCATCAATAGTGGCAGATGCCACTGTTATCAAAATTCTTCTGTCGCTTCGTGGTCCCGACGGAGATGGCGGAAGGATATGGGAAGAAAGTTGAGGTGCATTTCTGGAAGCTCTTTTCGAGACAACAGAGTGACTAGGACGACGGCCTATTAAGCATCAACTCGTGAGACCACGACGCAGGTCGCCACTTATCATGGTGTTCGAGGGAAAGCCACGTCTATCACGTGTCTTATGTAACGAGGCTCTTGCCGACAACCTACTACGACAGACAACGTGGTAGACCTCGTGAATCGTCTGCATGACATCCAACATTACACCCTTCATCGTATAAAAATATCCTGTGAGAGGATGAAGGCCAGCTACGACGGCCTGGCCAACTCCGTGGGATTCCAAGAAGGGAACAAAGTATGGCGACACCGTTCGTCTCGAACCAGAGAAAGATCACTCATGCGCCAGTCAACTTCGAAATGCCCATATATATATATATACGCGCATGCAATTCAATAGACCCATGTAACGTAATATATACGGCTTTAAAAGGCTGGCGCATTCTGTCAGCTTTATGACAAACTTAGGCCAGAAGATAATACTGATGTCAAAACATGTTGCCAATAAAGAATACACTCGTGCTAACCGATAATTAGCTGTGTTGATGATTATAATAAATGATTTCCTGTAAATGCTCGTTCTTTAAAGCACGTGAAGCGGATGTTTGAGTACGTCTTCAGATGAAATCCAGCAGCGTCACATCCGGTCTAGCACATCTCTCGTTTGGCAAAACACAAAAAGCCAGTGCGGAAGCTTCCGCACTTACCAACAAGCCCGTATCGGATGACTTCTCTCTCACTAATTAGCAATTTGCCACAGATGCGATCAACATCTGGCAAGGTGGAGCAAGACAGCTCTTACACTGCGCATCAGCTGACACTCACTACAGATTCGCCAATAGTCCACAGCTCAATAAAAACGTACGTCTCTCTCTTTCAGCCAATGCCAACTTAGATATTTCAATTATCTCTGTTCAATGATTCACTAAAGCACTAATTTACCGTTACTACTTCAAGTACGGAGCTGCAGATTCCCTGGAGTAATGGACGCGTGCATTATATACGAGGTGCGATCAGAAAGTTTCCAGACTGCGCCTATAAAAACCCGTACACTTATCTCAGGTATTAAATTCATCCATCACCCTCGAAGTAGTTCCCCTGGGAGTGAACACAACGA